AACAAATACAAAATTATGAATAAAAGAGAGATCAGTTATATGGTATTTCATACTTACTAACAGGGAAGAGAGATACTAACAGATTAAAAAAGAGGAAGTATGAACTTTGGAAGAGAGTGATCATGCGATCCATGAATTCCCCATACTGCAGACCGAGAGAATGAAAGGTAGCCAGATTAATGTTCTAAATTTCAAAAGAGTTGGCCTCAGTAAGCTAAGGGAAAAAGTAGGAAATAGTGCATGGATGGAAATTCTGAAGGAGGAAAAGAAAGTTCAGGAGAGTTGCATAATTATAAACAGCGAGATAATTAAGGCCCCAAAACAAACAGAGAACAGAAAGAAAACTGGAAAACAGTTGATGATGCAATTGTGCTTTCAAAAGAACTCTGATAAACTAAGAAATAAAAAAGGATAAATAAATAAAAAATTGTAAAAAGAGGCACATAACAAAAGCAGATTGATTATCAAGAAATAGCCCAAATTTGTAAGGATGGCATAAGAAACGCTAAAGTTCAGAATGAGCTGAGGCTTACAATGAGTGACAAAAAATAACCAAAAAAGGGCTTGTCTGTATACAGTATGTACAAAACAAAAGAGAAACATCAAGGAAATGGTCAGTCTCCTGGATGGAGAAAATGGCAAGATAGCGATGGATAACAGGGAGAAGGCTGAACTACTACATTTTTATTTTGCAGCTGTCTTTTCACAAAAGGAAAAAGTGGTCCAACCTGTGCACTGGGTGGAGATGGGCAGAAGAGCAATATAGGTCAAAATAGACAAGAGGCTATGAATGAACACTTAGCTTCTGGGAATAAATTCAAGTTCCTGAGACCAGGTGGATAACATCCCAGGGTGCTAAATGGTTCTCGGAGAATTCCTGAAGTACAGGAGAAGTGCCAGACTATTGGAGAAGAATAAAAATGGGACCCATGCAATGACAGATCAGTAAGTTTGAAATCAGTACTTAAGATCATTAATATTGTTTACAATCATGCCAGGTTATTATTATTATTATATTTTTACAGAATGGATAGATTAATTAGACAGAAATGCTGTGGGTGTAGAGTACCTAGAGTTCAGTAAAGTTGGGCATAAACTCTTGATAAAATGGAACGTGTGAGATAGTAGCACTGCTCGATAGATTTTCAGGTGCTCCTTAATGAAACTGTGTCTACATGGAGGGACCTCTGCAGTTGGGGACTTCAGGGTTTTGTTCTAGGCCAGTCTTGTTCAAAATATTCATAAATACTTAGATGAAAGGATAGAAGGGATGCCCAGCACATTGCAGACAACATGAAGTCGGGGGAGGGATTTCTAGTATCTCTGGGCACAGGAGTTAAAAAGATCCTGATAGATTTGAACATTGCGTCCTATGCAACAAAATGCAGTTTCATCGTGGAAAATACTAGGGTTCTGCATGTAAGTAGGAAAAAGTCAAATACAAAGTACAAAATAGGTGATACCTGGCTCAGAAATTGTACCTGTGTGAAGGATCTGGGTATCCTGGCAGATCAACCTGTAGCTGCCAAAAGAGCCAGTGCAATCTGTCAAGATAATGGGAACAGGTAGTTTCATTCTACACTGTGTTAAATGAAACAGCACCTGGAACCTGTATTTAGTTTTTGGTTGCCAAAATACAAGAAGGATGCTGTGGAATGAAAAGAATGCAAATAACCATAGTGAGGGGCTTAGAGGCTAAATCCTATGGAGGACGGTTAAAAGAACTGGGAATAAAGAAGAGAAGGCTAAAAGGAAGACATAATACCATAGTAGTCCTCTAACACTTGAAGTGCTGTCACAAAGAATAGGGCAGGAATCAACAGATGCTTTGCAGAGATTGAAATCGAAAAACAAGGTAAATTGCCTGACTGTGAGAGCTATAAGGCACCTGACTCCTGAAATTATGGGTGCTCCATTTTCAAACAATGGATGGGTAGGCTGGGTGGAATACTCTGAAAATCCTTGCCCTGGCAAGACAGGGAATTAGAAAACACCTTTCCAGCAATATGATTCTAGCAATTATTTCCTACTACCATATTACAGTATATATGCATTCCAATTGGCACCCCCTTTCCTACATAAGGCTAAGCCATAGATCATAAAGCTGCAGGAGAAAAGGCTCCTTGAGATGATGGATCATTGCTTAAGACCCAGCCTTTATATAAAGTCAACTTTTGTTTTTCCTTCGAATTTTCTTATACACGGATTCTTCTGGTCCCTTAGTCAATGATTTGACTGTTAACAGAGTGTGTCTTCTTCACTCTGTGGCTGGCAGTTGCTTGGCTAAGAAAAGTGAGCAAATTTCTTGCAAAGCATGATGACTTCTATGGGGTAGAAGTGAGAGACTGTATATAGCGTATACATAGTCTGAATATAGTCCAAACGTAGGCCTCTATCTCAGTATTTCCTTAGCAGGGGGAGATTCAGAAAAATAATGCTAGAATAGGGCTTGTGACACAAAGGTTACTTGTCTTAAGTCACCCTGGCATAGAGTGTTCTGGCAGACATCAACATGCTGCCACTTACAAGCAAGCATGACAAATGACCTGTACGTTACAGCAAGCATCCCTAGATGGGTCATTAACTGCCAGGACACATTAAATAGAAGCACCTGGGGTGAGAGCCAAAATAAAATCCTACCCAATCTCTTAGCTTGAGAAAGATCCGGCCTTTAAATTTTTCATCCAGATTCAGTTTCGTTAATGGTGAAGCTCCTTGTGAAATTTTTTTTGTGTGTGTGAAAAGGGTTAGAATTGGGCGTTTGAATCAATAGTTCCAAATTATTCACCTTCCTCTGGTTCTGATAAGAAAAAAAAAAACAGTCTAAAGTCATTTTTTTCTGGTGATTGCCCAGGGGAAGGCAATCCACAAGAATGATGGGAGCCCAGGTTTTAAAAGCAGAAACTTCCTGCAACTATAAATCAACATCTGTAAAGACAGGTGGATGAAATTACACGGAAGCCAAACAGTCTCTTAGAAGAGACTGTTGTATAATCTTCAGAGAGCCCTTTGTAGAAAATTGTCAGTCTATTCTTCATTAGTACATTTTGTTTCCCACTAGTATTAATTAATCCTCTCTTTTAGCACCAAGCACAAGCAACATGTTCAGTAGTAATCTATGAACTACCATTTCTCTGCCCACCACTCATATCTAATTGTTCAATACAGCCCTGCCAAAAAATCAGAGCAGGTGAGTTAATATCTAGGCATTTTCGACAATAAATCCTCTTTCAGCACACATGCTCCCAAATCATTAAAAAAAAAAGGAGAGGGAGCCAAAATCCGCTAAATTAGAGCTGTACCTTTAAGGAGTTCATCTAGCAGAGAAAGCAGCTGCATTCCTGTTGAGAAGGGGCTGCTGTCCTAACATGCAACAGAGGCTAGAAATAACCTGCACGCACACAACCTTCCAGCATCCAACCCAACACTACAACAGCCTCTCTCACTCGTCGGCAGAACAGCAGAATAAGAAAGACGTGAAGGAAGGAAGGAAGGAAGGAAAGGAGGAAGAGAGATAGGAAGGGATTAACTTTATTAGATCAGCAAAGGAGGCGGGTGCCAAGACATCAAAGGATCAAGCTGCCTTTTAGGGGAGGAAAAGTCGTTTCAAGGCGCATGAAGGAAGAAAGAGAAGAGACACCCACCCACCAACCCCTTTGCTGTGGCTTTGTCGGAATCCGGCTTGGCTGTAGAAAAGGGAGCTTTGAAGGCTGCGATCGGGAAATGGATCAATGGCCCGATCCGATCCGATCCGATCCGGCATGCGTGCCTGAGGAGCCCAACGAAGGAACGAGGCGTACGTAGAGCGGGTGGGACAAAGACAACGCCAAGTAGGGAAGAAAAGCAGCAGCAGGTAGTTTTAAGGGCGACGGGATGCCCTGCGCGCTGGCGCCAGAAACATTCAACGACCGCTTGCAAATTAAGCAACGCCGACGCCGCCCCACCCTCTCGCACGTGAGAAGGCTTAATTTTTTTTTTTAAATCGAAGTTCATCAAAGTTTTGCCCCCTGAGCCTCCCCCCCCTTCCCCCCACCTTTTGTACAAAAGGAGAACAAAGTTGACGAAATGAGGCGGGTGGGAGAGAGAACGCAATTCAGTCTTGAAAAAATCGGCGACTTTGCTGACTTTGCTTGAACTCGAAATGAGGATCTGAGCACATGCAAAAAGTGCTGAAACTTCACCTCCTTTTAGCCAGCGCGCAAAATCCTCCTCAAACTGGGAGCACTTCACCTCTCCGGTGGCTTGACGCAGAGATTTCCGAGGCACCGGTAGAAAGCAAGGGGGAAAGGAGGAAGCTCGAGGAATCGACCGGGGAGGGGGGTATCACCAAGTAGGGGGGACTTGCTCTCCGCGAGATCGCACAGAAGGAAACCTTGGCGGAAAGGGGGTAAAACCAATAAGCGCGCACAGGATTTTACAGCCCAGGCTGGGTGCCCAACTAAAATTGAGGTTGGCTTAGTTGCGGGTCGGGCTTTTCTCAAGCCAGCCAGCCGGCCAACAGGGTACAACATTTCGCTATCTTGTAGGAATTCATCCGGGAGTCGGAGCAGCTGAGTTCGGATCAAGGCAGCTGAAGATATCCCGAGCCTTTTTTTTTTGCAGAGGGTTGGTGGGGCGGCGGAGGTGGCAGGCACGCGCTTTGCGAGCGACTGATTTTCAGACCTGAGATTTCACTCCAAAACTGGCCGGCAGATCCGAAGCGAGAACACAGGGTGTCCTTCCCGCCCCCGCCCCCCCCCCGCCGCCGAGCATCCCTTTTCCGCCAGCCCTGACCCCAACTCCAGCAGCGCAACAGCCCCATGTCCAACTTAGAACCTGGACCCAATTCCCGGAACCTCTCCTCGCCTGCACGTACCGGGAGAGAAGATTGTCCCAGGCGAACCCCCCCCCTACTCCCCCACTCCACCCCGACCCCCAAGACACACGCGCGCCCCAATCTCTGAGGCGCCCGCCCGCGGCTGGGAGCGCGGGAAAGGGGTTGTCCCCTCAGAGTCGCCTACCTCGCACGTAGAAAGGGGCTTCCCACCGGAGAAGCAGCGGCAGCAGCAGCAACAACAACGGCGGCCACCGGAGACAGAAGCCCCCGAGCCGCCTCATGGTGGCGAGCGACCCCTGTCGCAGCTCTCGCCTTTGCCCCCGCGAGCCTTTTCCCTCCTTCGCAGCCGCAGGGGAAAAAGAAAGTTGAGGGCTGGGGGTTGGCGGCTGCCGTTCGCTCTTCTCCTCGGGAGCTGCCGCCCGACTTGGCTCCGGCTGCCACCAGGCGCCAAGACTGGTCTCAGGCTCGGCGGCGGCGGTGCGTCGGGGCTGCTCTGGGGTCCAGCCGGCGGCGGCCGCTGCTTTGCTCCGTCTCCCCGCTCTGCAGAAGCGACGGCGAGATCGGGGATCGCTCCAGCTGCCCGCCCCCCGGCCCTGCCCCCGGAGGAGGAGTCCCCGCCGGGGCAACCTCCGCCCTCGCTTCTCGCCCCCAGCGGCAGTCGCTGCTCCAGAGCTTCCCAACCTTTTTGCAGGCGAAAACGTGGTAGGCACCCGAGCGCCGCCGCCTCGGCTTGCTGCCCTCGGCCAGATTCTTCTTCCCCAGCCATTCTAACTCATCCGGCCCCATGATCCCACCTGCCCCGCTTCCAAAGCCAGAGCCATTTGTTGTAAGAGGTGCTTGCTTTTGGAATCGCCCGCTCTCCTATAGCAAAGTTACTTCCGGCGCACTACTACATACTCAGGAACCTCCAAGTTGCACAGCCACAAGAAACGATTAATTGAAATTAAACCCCTTCATTCCACTGGTCCATTCGCTTTTTCTTCTGTCCTGAGAACAGGGACCCATAATAGAATTGTCCAGATTCGTTCGTTTGTCCATCCATCCATCCATCCATTCATTCATTAATTCACTCACTCACTCACTCACTCATTCATTCATTCAACATATTCCAAATTGATCATATCATCAGCTGAATAAAGTAAGCAAATATGACAAGGCTAAAATATCCCAGGTAGGACTGAAAATGAACTGTAACAATACAACATTCCCAAGGAAAACAAAAATAATTCAGCATGTCCTTGAACTACCAACTAGGAAACATTGGCTTCATGCCTTCTGCTTAATTGTGGCTTTTTTCACTGTAATTTATGTGATGATTGACCAAGATCCTTTTCCGCTTGACCTATGTACAGCTCTAGCAATTTCTTTTTCTGACATCATACTGTCTTTATCTTATCCCCAGTCTATTCCTGAGGCAGCTGCAATTTATTCTTAATTATACTAGTGTTTTCCACTTAAAGCAGGCAGCAAAGCCATGTAGTACATTCGGAAGCGCTTCTCAAACTATTTGGTGACCTCTAGAGGATGGGATCAGCCCAGCACCTATTGGCTGTCTGAAGGTGTTGAACCTCACTCCTTCCCGAGAATACAGGTAGCTCAAAGGTTACAACGACTCCTTCAGTGACAGTTCAAAGTTCTGACAGCAATGAACAAGAGGGCCTTTTTGAAGTTGTGGCCATCACAGCACCCTGCAATTTGTGGCCATCACATGACCGCAATTTGGATGCTTGGCAACTGGCTCACAATTATAACAGTTGCAGCATTCCATGGTCATGGGATTGCCATTTGGGAGGTTCCCTGCCAGCTTCCCCAAAGCAAAGTCAATGGAGAAGCCTGCAGGACATTGAAAATCACTGCTGTTCCTGCCCTTTTCTCCCAAAGAGCTCCAAGTGTACTCTGTACCACCCATCCACCCACACTCCACAGTGTCCACCTGCAGCACTGTATGTCCACCCACTGGCCTGCTTGCCTGGGATGCAGTTTCAGTGGCTCTTCTACTGTCGTGGTCACATGAAATGCTTGTTGAGGACCTTCACAGTCCTCACTTAATGACAGAAACTGCCAGTGCTAAGCAAAGTGGTCATGTGTTAACATCATGCTTTTGGACCAAATCAGAATTTCGGTCCCAGTTGCTGTCCTAAGTCAAGGATTACCTCCATGTTTGGTAGGGAGAGGGACTGGATCTTTTAGAAAGATCCTCTACATTACCAGATCTCAGAAGTTGAGGCTCAATTTTAAGATCTATATCAGCCTGAAAGCAAGGGAAGATTGAAGGCAAACAAGGTCCAGGCAGAAGAAGAACATCATGGCTTCAAAATCCGAGGGACAAATTTGGACAAAACTCATCAGCATTTTTTTGTGCCATTGTTGTTAAAAATAGGATCGCCAACATGATCACCAATGTCCGATGATGGATATGGCACAAGTAGATCGGCCTGAAGAGCTGCACTTCAGAGAAGACAGTCAGGAGGGAAAGCTGCAGTGGACTATAGGAATAATTCTGCATGCTAGTTCACAGTACCACGATTTCTGAACCTGGGTAAGCTGTAGTTAGGCTTCCCTTGAACACACTTGTGCAAAAAAGAGCAGACAAATTAAACCCATCCCGTTGAGCGATCTTATCAAAGTCTTTTTTCGTCCTTTCCTAGCCCAGCTCCATCCCATGTTAAGAAGAGTGGCTCGTGGGTATTTTCCTGCAAACTGGAGAGGATGGACGAGTTAGGGAAAGCAACAAAGCTGTGAAAGTTATTTTCCTATCCTTAACATGTCTTGCACATTGTTTATACAGATAGCTCCGTTTGCTGGCATTGTGTCTCAGCAGGATATGGATTACTAAGGGGGGGCGGGGGGGCAGTACATTTTCCACTGCAATCATTTTCTCCCAGCTCCAGGACTGTTGGATAGCAGGAACGACAATTTTGTTTAGCTTGGTATTACACACAGCACTTCTGTTAGGGAAAAGCAGACATTCTTATATCAGTTGTCTTCTACCCTCATTTTAACCTACTCTGTGCTTTCTGAATTCTGTTCTGGAGGTTTGGGAAGAATGGCAAATTGTGAGAGAGAGGAGGAATGAGCAACACAGAGACGCTCCGTTTTCCACAGAGAGCTACATTAAGACTTTGTAGGGGAGGGGTCGCCAACTTTGGCAACTTTAAGACTTGTGGACTTCAATTCCCAGAATCCCTCAGCTAGCAAAGCTGGGAGTTGGGAGTTGAAGTCTTAAAGTTGCCAAGGTTGGAGACTCCTGTTGTATGGTATGTCTTCCTGGTCTGATCTATTGACCTATTATGTCTAGGAGTTGCAAGTTAGAATATAGGTCGTCCTCAACTTACAACCGCAATTGAACCCAAAATTTCTGTTGCTAATTTGCTAAGTGAATTTTGCTCCACTTTACGACTTTTCTTGCCACAGTTGCTAAGTGAATTACTGAAGGGATTAAGAGTAGTAACACAGTTGTTAAGTGCATCTGGCTTGTTAAGAACATCGCAAAAGGTGATGATCATATGACCCAGGGGCACTGCAGTCAGTTGCCAAGCATCTGAATGTTGATCATGTGACCATGGGAATGCTGCAATGAACGTAGGTGTGAAAAATGGTCATAAGTCACATTTTTCAGTGCCGTTGTAACTTCGAACATTCACTAAATGAACTGTTGTAAGTTGAGGATTGCCTGTATAGTTAAAATTTTCCTTACAGGGACTCTATGGGTATCTCTTTTAAGTGATGAAGCAACCATCACCATATATTGTCAAACCAGTCTTGCATTGATTAAGATGTTTCTCTGAAGATTTCGTTAAAATCTACTTTCCCGCAATTTTCACCAATCTGGTTCTAATACTGCTCACTGGAGCCACAATAGAATAATTCCTCCACCCCTCTTCCATGTGACAGCCATTCAGATATTTAGACATCCTATTCTCCTACATATATTTTTATCCCTTCCCCATATGATATTGTTTCTGTGGTCCAGTCATCCTCCTGGTTGTCAGGTTCAGGATATATACTTGTCTGCCAACATTCTTCCTAAAGAACTTAGTGCCTCATTTTAGATACAGTTCAACTAATGTGGCAGAGCGGCTGCCTTTCACAATGCGGATGCAATGCTTCTATTTAAAGCAGACAAAGTGCTGTTTTTAGCCACCACATCATTGCATTGGCTTCTTTTTCATTGTGTGCGAGCAAGAACCATTTTTTAAAGCGTGAAACATTACTGCCTGTAACTCAGCAGCCCAATTATTTTCTTTTTCTAAAAGGGGAGAGGAAAAGAGAGATAGTAAATAATGCTATATCTCCCTGCCCTTAATAGAGCATGTATCAAAGTCAGACATCAAAGCAGTATTCTCAGAGTAATGGAACACATATGACATAGTTCAAGCTATCTGCCGTTTGGCAAAGAAGAGGTATGACATCAGAAGAAAACCGAAAGGAGTATGTGAAGGGTAGATGTTTATAAACGCTTCTTACTCTCTCTCATTTTCTATGCCAGCTAATATTTGGGAACCTTTCTAACAAATCAGGGATTCTTTTCAATTGCCTATGTCTCTTGCTGAGCTCCTTCTCCTTAAAATAACCACTAATGATTTGACACTTAAATAAAGAAACAGCTGGATTTGTACGATATGCATTGGAAATGCTACTGTAGCTGTATATTCAGAGCTGGCTATATATTGAGAGGCACCAAATACAGGAAAATCTAGCAAGAGCGTCTAGAAACATATAGTTAAAAGGGAAGAGTGAAAGATAACAAGTGCTTATTATTCTGCATTTCTATATTCATTTATCTACACATATACATATGCATATACAGACAATGCTACTTAAATTACTATCCACTCATAAGGATTGGTAGAAGGAAAGCTGTGTTACTCCATGCTGACAACATATCAGGGTCTGACAGCATCTTTTTTGTCTAATACATTTTAGACATAAGCTTTTAGGAGTTGCAGCTCCTTTGCAATTTCTAATTTTTGCCATAAGGATATGCTGACCTTAAATATTATGCTTATTGGTAACACTAAGGATGAAAAGGAATAATATAGGTATCTTAGCTTAAAATTATAAACCCAAAAATGCTCTTTCCCAAAAAGTCCACAGACATCACATTTAGCTAACATACATGCATGCCAAAATAGCATAGTGACTAGACAGTCTGTCATATACAAATAATCTTCGTATATAATGAATCCGCAACATACATTATAGTCTCTAACATTCTAACCAGGATCCAAAAGAACAGAATCGCTTTCTATTTTTAGATGTCATAATACTGAATCTAAAG